AGTTACATAAGAAAAACAACTAAGACCACCCAGATCATTATTGTCATTTTGTTCTGAGTGAATGGAGTTTCTCACGTTCTGGTTGGCTTCATATTCTATTTACAGATCCGTTGGAGATCAAATGAAAAGAAGAAAGAAACAACTCTGGCTTTCGTCATATTGATTTCTCTTACTTAGATGCATTTGTTGATTGGAATTGATCGAACAGAGAAGTATGTTAATTTATTTATGAAATTAATGGGTTATTATTTGTAAGCGATTAAGGAAATATGCGTTCGACATTTAAATGAAGTTGTCAGTAGTTACATTTGTATCCCGTTGAATGTTCTTTTCAGTCAGACGAATATGCTCTGAACACACGACTGTTGATAAGCTGAATATAATCAGTCGAATAGTTCACGAGAATTGCTTCCAATCCATGTCTACTGACAGGAATCTGATACTTTAAATAGTATGAAATATCACCCTTCTATCTGTAGATTATTACCTGACATACTTGAACATCATTGATTATTTTATCTCAATATATATTTATGTATGCGACATCAGTTCGTTTAGATTAACCTCCAATTGAATGGATTTGATTATCTTTGCTAACTCCTCTGTTTTACCACAGACTACTACATGCTTAATAAATCACCTATAAACACGATTGTACAGGTTGACAAATCGATATCTTTATGAAGAAAGGTTTCCTCTCTGAGACGTCTCTATTGATTTTAATGCTAACCGAGTGTACTCCAAGAGGAAGTGAAGCGTGATTTCAGTTCGATAATGATTATCAGTGATTAATCGTCGTTTAACTTGTATGTATTTCGTGTTATCCATTTTGGTGAAGTGGACACTCAGCTTTCACATCTACCCTACTCGATCCCATTAGATCTTTGAGAGGTGGAAGATATTGTTGAATTGATTTAGAAGATAATGTTGTCAGACATCTACTATTTGAGTTCTTCTCATCTAATATGCGTTTTCACATATGAAATATTCTTCTAAAAACAATGATACTAATGATGTTGATGATGATGATGATGATAATAGTATACATGACGTGGCAGTGTAATTTTGATAAAGAAAAACATCAGTTTGTTGACCTGAATTGTTGTTTGTTGAAATGTCAATGATTTGTACTTACTTCCTCTGGTTTCTCATCAGATTCTATGTAAATAATTAAATTATATGATTTACTGTATTGTATAATGAGCCAAATATAAAAGTGAAATAGAGTAAGGAATGTCGCTTACTAATGATGCTTTCATATGACTGACAATCATCTATGCACACAGAATAAAGATGAATGAAATTTTCATTTTACTAATGAGTACTACTTTTCTATAGAGAAACTGAAGTGAAAACCCGGTAGTTTTGATGTGGATTCGTAGATGGTCTTGCTTCAGCTATGAATAAACTCAGTAACCATTTACTATCTTATTTCAAATGAGTTTACTGAAGATCTTCTTATAGAATTGTCTACTGTTGACGTTTCGATTTCATCAATCGATGGAACTATCCATGATGATTCCGATGCTTTTAGACTCGACTAATTAATACGTCTCATGTATATTTTCTATGAGACTTTGATCAGTCAGATTGATGACATAATGCACATCATGTTCTGTGTGCTTTTTTTATCAATTTCTATGACAGGATAAAATAGGTAACTATACCTAAAATTCTAGAGAAGCACATACTTGTTATGTCCATAACTAAGCAATCAAATGGTTGTTTAAGCGACCACCACATGGATCTGGTCTGATGTCTCTGTTGCCTACCAATTGAAAGACATTATTATCCTATTATATATTAATGTGACTTTTCATTACGATAAGACGCGTATTACTGTTTGGTAAGTTTTTGTGTTTCACTTAATAACTGTAATTTCCTTAATTATTGTACTAATCTAATTGTCTTCGCGTTCAGAAACAGATCATGTTTAAAGCCAAGTCGTCCTTGATTTGACTATAGCTTTCACATAGACTCTGTGCTCACCTGTATGGAATTCGATATTGAGAACAGCTAACCTTGAAGACGGTCCATATCATTGTATTTGCCTTAATAAAAAGCCTTAGAAAGAAATACTATCTTGTTTAGATTTGATTCGCATTTATTAGCCGAACAGCTGAAAAAATTCAAACGGCTAGTCTACACGCTTACGTAGTTTAGGATTGCTCGTATAGTCTTGGATAAAGTCACTTGTCAATGACTTACACATAAGCGTACTTTAAAGGAGAATAAGGCTGTTGAGATTACAACAAATCCGATTGCATCAGCAGCAGTACCCACTTGTGCGGCAAAACGATCTCATGCTAATCAATACTCTTACTTGAGAGTTAATAGTGCTAACTTGACTCTTATGCCTGTAATGACCTCAGGTAACCAATGCATGTCTAAAAGCGACATTAATCCGAAATGTTCCATTGTGACATTATGGAACCCACACACAAATACCTAGTTCCAACATGAAAGCTCTTGAAGACACTGTTAAGATTAAGAAGTTATATCGTGTTATAAGAGAATATATACAGAACCGTCTGGTTCCAGACCTAATACCATGAATATTACAATAGTTCTACCATACAAAATTATACTCTCTGACACCATGTTTTATCCTACAAATCGTTATGTGATCACACTTGATGCAAACGTCGCACAAGACAGCCATCACTACCGTCGTGTAAGCAGGCCTAATATTGGACAGACTGCAGAGTACCAACATGTGCCACGGTTACCTCCAAAAGTTAAAATACTAAATTAACATTTTCCATCAATTTCCCTATAGGTAAGATAGACTGCTATTTTACGCACCATCAACCCAACCTCAACAAGCACGTGCCTTTCGTAACTGTCCACCAAGTGAATTTCGGCGAATTAATCCACCTTATCAAAATACTGACTGTTTTGGCCTTCAGAAATCCCGGATTATACTAGTAAATACAATTCGTTCAAGCCATGGTCCATACGATTGGTGAAATAGATTAAACCATAGTCCAGGCAATTCTCAAATACGTAATATGGATCGGTAAGCTCTGAGATTTTTATACTCTATATTCCCTACCGAAACTTATTACTTCTGTAATTTAGTCTTTTCTCAACGTAACCGAGGATATCTATTCTCAGTGCTATACATTGATGTTTCTAAAGCCTTCGACATGGTTAGCCACCAACCTCTTATAGATAAACTGGCATATTACGGGGTCTAAAACTGTCTGTCTACTTGGTTTGATTCCTTCCTCAGACACTGACACCAAATTGCTAAAATTGACTCTTCATTGTCAAACGCTTTCCCAATCATAAGTGGTGTAATACAAGGTAGTGTAGTAGGCTCTTTGCTCATTTGTGTTTTTATCAATGATATCTGTGAATGCTTTTGTGTGGGTAAACCGCTTCTGTCTGCAGATGATCTTAAAGTAGTGTATTCATTTTCTACTCATGAACCGAACATTATGCGAAATTGCATCTGCAGGAAGCTTTACAAGGTAGCGAAGTGGTGCTGAAAATGGCAGCTGGAGCTTAACACAACTAAGTGTGAATGGGCATGCTTCTCCAACACATCGTTCGACTTAGATCTTACCATAATTGATGAGGTGTTATCTATGTTACATGCAGTTGTAGACTTGGTACTTAACAACTCCTCAGTCAGTCAGCTGCAACGTAGGACCAGGCATGTATATGCATCGGTCCAAGTTGCCATACCGCATTAGCACAACAAGATGAACACCAAATTCATAGAAGTAGTTAATTCAGTGGTGGTAATATATAGAAGAAAGATTGTGTATAAGGAGATAGTACAGGAAGAAAGAATTAGTTCCTAGAAAGAAAGATTTGAAGTGATTTTAATATCTTAATTTAAAGGAAGACAGAGTGTGTATACACCGACGCCATGGTGATTGATTCTGAGCCATGTCATTCGAGGTCTCTAAACATCGGTTGCTATCATCTCGCGGTCCCCAACCAGGTAGTCTACATCTACCAACATGGTTCACAGTTCACTTGTCAGTGACTTTATGGATTTGTGCCATGTTTTGGTCTGGCCGCTCCTAGCTTTATTCCAACCTACTCCAACACCATAAAACATCGCACGTCGGAGCAGTCGGTGGTTAGGCATACGTATCACGTGTCCCAGCCATCCCAACTGATGAAGTTTCACTACTTCATCAATTGATTTGCCTTCCTTACCTAATACCCGTTTCCGAACAACTATATTAGTAACTCGGTGGTCCCATGATATACGAGCAATGGTTCAAAGACACCTAAGATCGAATACCAGGAACGTACGAATATCCTCTACTCTTACCTGCCATGTTTCACAGCCATAAAGTAGGACGGAACGAACTACCGCGCAGTGAACCCGTCCTTTGGTTGGTAGACGAATATCTCACCCACGCCAGTTGTGTTCGAGTTGTGAGCCTTTATAAGGTTAATGTACTTCTTTGGTAGTCCTTTCAGTGACAAACTCTGCCACGGAATCTCACGATCAACAGAGTCAAATGCCGTCTTAAGGTCGAGAAATACTACTATTGTGGGATGTCTGAATGTGTGTAGAAAACCAGCCTGGTTTTCTCTAGTCTGTTCCTCACGAGCTTTGGTTAGGCGTCGAAGTACTATTGAAGCTAATATTTCGGACACTATATTAGTCAAACTAATTCCTTTTTGATTGTCGCAAGAGAACTGTTTTCCTTTCTCATAGACTGGCACAATCAGTGATTGAGACCAGTCAGACGGGATTACGTCCAGTTCCCAGAGTCTACCTAAGACCTCAGTCAATGTCGCTGCTGTCAGGCCCTGCTGCACTCATAGCTTTTTCAACCTCGTGAAGAGTCGGAGGACCTACACCAACTTGCTATTCAGGTCGACTGGAGATCATGGCAAACCGAAGTATTTATTTATTTTATTTATTAATTTGAACACATAAATATTGGTACAAGGGGGCACCGAATATATATGCGCCACACAAAAAAATGATAATTTGAAAAGAAAGGAGAAAAAAAGAGAGAACAATAATGGGGGAAACGGAAAGGTACAATCCGAAGTGTGCATGTAGGTCAGTTGAACTGATCCCTAAAGTGTTCTGCCCGTCGATCCAATCTCCTGGATTGAGAACGAATAATATGACCATCTTTTCCCGATATAGTTTCGCTAACTGTTGGGTTCCTAATACCGGTTTCGTTAGCAATCCTGAACAGTTGTCTGCTGTTGCTCATTGCCTCTGCCTTTTCCATCTCTCTTGGTTTCGCTACCCACCACTGTTCACGATCATTGCATAGGCTTCTTATCAGCCTGCGCATAAGCTGACTCCGCTCTTCGTTATGTTCAGAGCCAGATGGAATGAGTTTTCGAGCATCTTGCAGTGCAGTAGATGCTGCTGAGATCCAGTGTTTCTCCCTAACCTTATAGTTTACCGTACTACCAGATATCACTGCTGTTTCTACAACTTTTCGGATGTAATTCCACGTTTCCTCGGGGTGGGCATCACATAGATGGCTGCCTAACTGTTTTTCTAGTTGTTCCTCAAATTTACACTTAGCTTGACTATCATTAAGTAGGACCCTAAGTGATTTCCTTGCAGAGTCTTTCCTACGTGCAGTACGACGCAGACAAATACGCACTGGCACTATAGCATGATCTGAATCTAAGCATGTGCTCCAGAATGAACGAAAGTCTTCTATTGAGCCACTCCATCGGTGCCTGATAGCGATGTGATCTATTTGGGTTCGAAATTGGGACGAATTAGGGGGCCGCCATGTCAAAAGATGTTTTTCCTTATGCTTAAAGCTGGTGTTTGCAAGAAAGAGGCGGTTATCTGAGCATAGCTGCAACAGACGGTCGCCGTTATAAATTCTTTGAGCCGCGACACCATAAGATCCACGCAGGCGTCTTTTCCTTTCGCTTAGTTTCCCTACTTGAGCATCAAAGTTACCAGCCACTATTATTAAATCAGAACGCCTAGCTTTTCGAAGAAGGTCGGAAAGCTTTCTGTAAAACTCATCTTTTACATCATCTGAGCTGCAATCAGTGGGAGAGTAGTCAGAGACGACGAAAAGGCAACGACGAATGTCCCTATCTTTCCGAGTCCTTAATGTTACGTTTAGTCAGACAGCGCACAAACGACTGTCTACTGGGATCCAGTCTGAGAGAGCTAGTTCTGCTCTAGGACTCAATGTTATATCTACACCAGCAAGGCCACGGTAAGCAGCATCAGGAATGGCAGATACTCGAAGCATGGATCGAGTTGTTTCGTTATTTTGAAATAGTGAGTTCAAAGGAATGACGCTACTAGGATCCTGTATGCGCGTTTCGGAGACACAGCACACGTCGATGACGCGAGATTCTAAAGTACTGGCTAAAGAAGCCTGTTGTCCCATTTGACACAGTGTTCGGACGTTGACAGCTCCTACATGTAGTTTACAGCGTGGTTTAGGAAGATGAGGAATAAAGTTTTGCGTACTTGAATCGTCTGCCTTAGTGGTGCGAGGTGAAAAAAGGGACGTGAAAAGGGTTAGTCGTGGAGATAAGAGATTTTTTAGGAGGTTTAGGAAGGATTTGAATGTGACCAACTTTGTCTCGTGTGCTGTTACGGGTATGAGAGTTGATATCACTTCCCGGCTGCCCACACCGTGAAAGGGTATTTCTTGAAGAACATGAAAAGGAAATCGCATTAGTGTTGGTCTTAACGACCTGGGAGCGTGACTGCGGAGCCCAAGGGACAACTGTTTGAGGCCGGATATTGTGAGAGGTTTTTGACGTGTTAGCTCTGCTCTTGAAAGGGCCTTACAGCCGGAGACGGAATTCCGTGAGGTGAGGTGAGTTGTTACATTTTTAGGGTCGACTTTTTCTAACCTCTTCCTTCCTTGTGAGAAGGCAGCATCGCTGCAGATGCTGGCTGTTCGAGGGAAACACCTTACTGCTGTCACACCCCTATACAGTCAGCAGTACGACTTCGTCCTCAGACCTTGAGTTGCTGCTTTTAGTTTTACCGTTCTCCGATTGACCTGCCTAGCATGGTAGAACCTACAGGAACATATGTCCCAGCCAATATAGCTCGGTTGGGTCATCACGATAGGCAAGCCCGACCACCGCGTCAAGGTAGCAGCTACAGTCGGGTTGTCGTTTACGAATCAGGTATTTAAACAGAGCTCTTAGATTCAACGTCTTATGGTTTGCATAACTCAAAAGCTTTACGACAACGAGTCACATATTTCGATGTACAAAGTTTGTGTTCGACCACTCGTAGATACTGCACGCTTATTTTTAGTATTGTGTGCATAAAAGATAAATTAAGATAGGAATCGGTATAGAGATGTCTTACACTTGGGATTCTTGAAACTGATTGTACCTTGAATTTTAATTCCAGGTGAAATGAACTTGAGTTCGACCCTTTATGGAAGAGGAGACTCAAACTAAATCTAATTGTTTTCTTCAAAATCCCCAATAAACTATCCTCTACATCCAGTCAAGAAATTCAATTTGCAGGAACTTCTAATTACGACGTGCGTATCTCCTAGTCATTAGTGAGACAAGAGATGAATGTTGAGAAAAATACAAAATTACAAAGTTCACAAAAAAAGGAAAAAAAACCGTGAACAAAATGGAAAAAGTAAGAAAATAGTTCTGCTGCCAGCACTCTTATATAGATGGCCAAGGTAGAAAAAGTAGTTGTACGAATTTCTTTTGGATGCAATTGTTAGGTTTCTAAACAAGGATTGCGATGACTTCCGCACGCACTCGTAATCCATGTGGCAAATTTGATGGAATCTGATAGATAACCTTAAGAGCTTTATTCAG